TGACGAGGCCAATTCTATCCTCGAAAGAGCGGGCATGTTCACTGAACAATGGTACGAGCTGCCTCTGACCAAGAGGGTGCACAAAACAGACGGCAGTGGAAAATTCAGCTCGAAATGTTATGGCTTCACTTCACCATTAAATCTTCAAACAAACTAATATTTTCTAAAGTTAAAAAAAATGCCCAAGATTGCTGCTGCTACCCTTTCGCTTAAGAAGCACAACATAATGCCTACATAAGAATGTAAAGTTGGTTTTAATATGTTTTATTCAATATTCCCTTTAATACGACCTTTCATGCGTTAGTATGTTGCCTGGAACTGTTAGTTGCGTCCTTGAGTAAAATATCAAAGTTCTGCAATAGGAAGGCACTTTTTAGATTTGCCGGACCGCAGTGCTTTTCCATCTCACGAACAAAAAGCCGCTGTGACCTGGTGTCACTGGATTCTGGGAAAGGAGCGCCAAGTTCCCCGTATAGTCGCCATTTTGGTTCTTGAATTGAGGATTTTCCGCTTGTCCTTTTTATTCTTAGCGAGCCAAGCTAAATTCGATAGTGACGGGTAGCTTTATAGAGACGTTTCTTGTATACCGAGATTTTTCTATCAACATACAGGCGAAACAAACGTTCACCATTAGGTGGCTTCAATTTGGTTGGTTTCGTTTTAGACGTGCACGCGTTGCTGTTTCATGTCGTTTTCGCTTAATGTTGGGGTATGTATATTTCTTTCTTGCAGCACACAGCGAATAAAACAATTGTACTGAGCGACTTGGAGAACCATGAAGTGGTTTCGAGCCTAATTTGCGATCATTTTACGAACCCCATATGCGTCTGATTACGTCCGTTAATTTTGGCCCGTTTCGGCGGTGAAACAACTGCGCTGACGCACAAGGAGGATTACTATTGTCCATGGCCGTACCCACGGACAATAGTTTCTAGAAAAAAAAAAGAAAGAGTAATACAAGCTCTGCATTCTGGACACGCTCGTTGCCTGCTGCCGTGCAATTGGCTACGCGTGCACCAAGCGCTACGGAAGGTACACTCTTAGAGAGTGGGGTAAACATATTCCTCCTTAAATGGACGAACGAGTCTGACACATATGCTCCTTCAGAAACGAAGTAACCTTGCCCCCCTCAACAAGAGAGGAAAGTTCCTCCTCCGTCGATTCAGAGATGCATTTCAAAATGGCGGCTCCGAATCGAGCATCTATTGTAAGTCCTTCCGGCACGCCATCGACGTTCTACCAGTTCCACCGCAACGCAAAGAGTTCCGATGGTCACCGGACAGGGCGAATGCCTCCCGCTCACTGGCGGTCTGGCATTGCTTGCTCGGCAACACTCGGCATAAAAGCACCGCGTTGACCGCCTAGCAGCAACCAAGCCCACCCAAATCGAGCCGATGATTCTAGGGCACGATGAACACCAAATGAAAACAGAACACGATCTTCTCACGTCGATTATTTATTGGCCAATCCGGCTGCGCATGCAGGTGAGGAAATCCGCGCCCCGAATCCAATTTCGCGTCGTGAATAAACAAGAGATTTGCCGAAGCCCGTTCGTTCTCATGTTGTAATTCCTCCGTCGCAAATCCTACACAACAGATGTGGAGCACTAGGAACGATATATAATCCAACGCAATCAATACGGTGCGCCGAAGGATCCCCTACAACTCGCCAAACGTATACTACCGGCTGCCTCAGTGGAAAGAAAATACAAAGACAGTTTCACCGTTCATGGCCAGATGGCACATACGCAACAACAGACAACAGAACCTCTCATCGCTAACACCATTGCCTGCCGCAGAGGTATATATACCGTACGGATTTAAGGCACCTAGTTCCGCAATGACTGCCTAAGAAGGTATATTATTACAAATAAATTATTGTTCCCGCGCGAAAGCCTGCTCATAAGAACGTTTGAAACGTCCGAAGGCATACATCTCCAAGTATAATGTAAGCTTAAATAAGGTAATTATTTGTAATAGCCAAGAAACCAACCCCACCCGCCGGCACCTACAAAAAAAAAACAAAAAAAAAACGCGTGTGGGTGAGCTGGTGAGCGCTAATGCGTTCGCTTCTCCGCGTAGCAGCTCCGGATACCCAAACGTGCGACCAGAACGTCACGAACCAGGCTTGTTTTCTGGTGCTAGCCTACAGAAAGACATGAAGGAAGAGCTCTCGTCCTCACCGGTGTTAGTGAAGGACGGCTTTCTTTACTATGGGATAAAGTATAAACCGCATGTAAGCGATTATGCGGGCGCCGAGATAAGGGAAGGCGATCCGCTTTGCTGTCGCTCGGTCAGTCACGCGACAAGGCAAAAGCATGAAAGCGACGTTAGAAAGCGACCAGGGCGATGAGCGACGTTTTCTAAAAGTGCGAAAACCGAGCAACGCGACGAGCGACTATGAGAAATCTCCGTCGCTCGTCGCTGACTCTCGTCGCTTGTGGCGTCGCTCGCTAAATCGCGTACGTGCGGTTGAGCAATGAGGTGCGAGCGCGCGGATAGCTTTGATCGGTACTCATCGTGCATGAGGGTTCGAGTTTCTGTACCTTTGAATTGTCGTGGGGTATTACGGTGACGACGACGATCGCTTCAATTCTTCGGCGCGAAGTTCAGGTAAAGACCATTCCACTTAGCGCTCTCTGGGCGGCACCATTTTGTTCGACAGCAGTGCCCTCTCCATACATCCGGGAAATTCAGCGGGTTCGGAGGGGTAAAACGAGAGAGAGGGCACGCGCCCGACTCCGCTAGCAGACGACAAAACGGGAGGTTGCCATTCTCCATCTTTGGGCTGTATCGGCGGGCTGTACGGAACATCGAACTCTCACTCATGGCTGCCGTTGTGAAGTGGTTCGCGTTCTTAGAATAGTTATGGCTACTCCAAAATCAGCCTAGAGCTCTCAGTTGTTCTAATTCGGTAAATGATCAACTGACATATCTTTTTCTGTTACTTAAATAGCAGTTGAGTCAGCCGGCAGTGCTACCCTCAACTACTGCGTGTATTGCGGCAGGAGAGCACGTTTTTATTTATTATTTCAGACTTCCACTCATGGTCGCTAAAGGCCTACACAAGTACGAACTCTGTATAGTAAAAAGGGTACAGCCACCGGATTCACTTTTCGCCGGAGAGACCGACCAGTCTGACACAATTTTCTATATTTTTTGTTTTATTTGCACGCAGATAACAGCGCAATTGGACTCTGTTAGTCTTTTTATCTAGCATAGTTATCCACGATAACTGGCATACCAAAATCTGCGCATCTACGCTTGAAATTTCCAAAATGACGTGATTTTAAACAGAGTTTGTACGCCAGCCGGATGCTAGGTACTGCCCACTCGGCGGAGCAGACGACATGCGGGTGAGCAGGGGAGGGCATTTTTTTCACCTTTTTACTCTCTCTGCTATGACCCTAATGGAACGGTCTATAGCACTAAGCAAAATCGGTACCGCAGGTTCTCACGTCGTAATTTTCCACGTGGTTGCTTATCATGGCATTTCTAGAGGGATATTGAGTTAAGAAAACTAGATGCAGAGGTACTCGAAGTGTGCCATTAGGCTTTCTTCATAATGCTTCGAGGAGCTAAAGAAAACCCATACAAGGCAGTGAACCCCCAGCTGAAGTTCTGCTGCACTGCGCGGCAGTCCGTGCAGCCTGGCATTGTCCAGCTACGCACTCTTGCGCTAGATTTAGAGTTGCCCGATACATATTCCTATGTCGATTTAGGGGCGTGGGATCAGGCTGTCTTGACCTTCCCTTTTAAACTCTGCTTGTGCAACCTTTCAAAGGTACCAAAGCCTGGTCATAGTGCAAAAAGGAACAGCCACGATGTAGTCATGCTGTGACTGTTAGGTGTCTAAATTTTGTATTGTTTACCAGGCAGTGTGCTCAGTGTTTACACTTAGTACACGACGGGATACTTCCTGAAACATATTACGCTATATCAATCTTAAATCATCGTCCTATCTCAATCACATCAATCCTCTGTAGAACATTTGAACGTCTCCTTAACCGGGCTGTATTAACTTCTCTGGAGAAGCATGACATACTCTCGCAGTCCCAGCACGGCTTCCAGCCAAATCGGAGCTGTGAAACGGTCCTTGCCACGGTTACACTTTACATCAGTGACAGTATTCTTTTTGTGTGGCGTACGCAGTGCGCCACCAATCATCATCATGGTGCTTTGAGAAGAAGAGCACGTGAAGCCAGAACAAGACCAAACGAACATGTGTCTCGTGCCGTCAGACGGGTCTCATGATGTAATCTGTATTCTCCTTTCTTTAATTATAATATATAATTAAATAATACGCATTAGCCTTTCTTTCTTTAATTGTTTTCTACTTTATTAAACATAATTTCTCAAGTTTTAAAAGTATCGACTATCGCATCCCTGCTGATTTGATTCAACAGAACCGCAGTAAATTCGCTGGACACGCTCAATCACTCCCCCCCTGACCAGATAAGCCGCTCAGGCTGGTGTCCGTGGCTCGCTACTTCTTTGGTTGACTCGCTTTATGGTGGGTCGTACCCAAAGCGTGATTTACCCCAAACAGCACACATGGTCCTCTGGATATTGACAACTTTCAGCGATGGTATTACAGCGGTGCGAGAATCGCGCTCCCTAGCTCCTAGTTGATCGGCTTCAGAATCAAGGTGCTTCCCTAAATATTTTTTTTTACGTAAAACAATTAAGTAAGGCTTTATTACTGCTCGCATATCGCGAAACTAAAATTACTCACGCGTCGCAGACCCAGCCTCGTACTGCTGTTCTACGACGATCATCCAGATGACAGCCATTTTGATAGGCGCCAGTGTGCCCCCTATAGGTCGTGAAAGTTGCGAGTCTTCGGGATGTCCTGACGTTCCAGGGATGCCCTGTGGATGTGCATAGTACACCTGTGCTTCTAGGGACAATGGGTCAATAACCCAAAGCTATCCAGCTCTTTGTGGAATTCCACAAGGCTCCGTACTTGGTTCAACTTCGTTCTTGTTCTATGTTAACGACATGCCGCCAAACAGTAACACCCTATTTGAACAGTATGCAAACGACAGGTTTAGTATCGCCCGCATCACCTCTCCTGAGTACCCCATCCGCCTTCAAGGCTATTTCATTCTCTTTTCAGAGTGGCCGCATGTCAACTGCCTGACCATGAGTGGGGATAAGAGCGTAGTGATGCGTTTCCACAACAGGAAGACTACCAGTATTCCCCTTTACACTGTCTCAGCATTCCCCTTAAGGAAGGTACAATGCGCGTCAATCTTAGGGGTAACCCTTGTAACGTTCGAACCAACACTTGACTTTTCTCTACACATTTTAAACATAGTGGCTAAAGCTCCGTGCCCTTTGGGCTTTGTGACACGGTTGTCGAAAATCTGTGGCTTTTCCAGACTTGCTTCACACTGCACTTGTTCTGCCAAAGTTGGAGCACTGCGCACATGTGTGGCACCCATACCAAGTTCACTTGAATTTTCAGCTGGAGGATGCGCAACACCGTCCCATTTCGACACTCTTCCCTTGTCCCGACCGCCGACGTGATACGATTCCATCATATGACACGTGGTTGCAGCGTTCGAAGTGGCAGACATCAAAGCACCGCCACACTACGACTCGGGTTGCCCTACAATTGCTGCACCTTGGACGGGTCGCTCAAAGTTTCCTACATCTGAGCGGTACGACGCAATAAACGGACAGGACAACCCATGCCTTTATACTCCAGTACAGTGCAGCATCAGTACTCGGTGTTGCCGGCTGCAGTTCGGGTCTTTCTCGGGGTTTCGATGCCCCTCCCTGAAATTCGTGAAGAATCGAGAATTTGGATTCGTGAACTCTCTCGGCGCTTGACTTAGCCCCGTCACCTAGTTATATTTTGTGTTGTTTGTTTTTCTTACCATCTTTCTTCTCAACCTCGGGCGACTGGCTGACAAGCGCTCTGCGTATGTCAAGCCTCGCACGTCGCCCAGGACCACACGTCGGGCAATTAAAGGTTAATGTTGCTATGCGTAGGTCACTGCAAAGGTGTGGAACTGTGGCAAACAGACAAGGCAGAGACAGCATTTAAGTATGGTTCAACTGAAGCTTCCTTCCTTGTCTGCAACAATGCCGTCGTGTGTCAGCTGCCGATTTAGGCATGTTACGACCCTTCTCTTCCCTTGACTTCGGTGATGGACATCGGCAGACAAGATTTTCAAACGCTGGCACGTTGCAATTTAAAAAAAAAAGTGGTTTAAATCATTCAAAATCACTGGAACGGTTGTGATGTGCTTCTGGGGACACTGCACCATTACGTGCGACAGTTTTGAGTTGGTTCAGTGAATTAAGGCGTGGCCGTACCTCTCTCAAAGGCGACAAGGGCACTGGAAGACTTTGAACAGCTGTGACCGAAGAAAAGGCTGCTGCTGTGGAGAGGCTCGTTAAGGTGGATGCTCGGCTGACTGATGGTGATATCGAAGGGTCGCTGAAGATTAGTGCCCCCGAACGTTTCGGCGATTCTTCACGAGCACCTTTGTCGGACAAGTTTGATATCTTTGGGTGACGCAGAATTCGACAGAAGCTCAAAACCAGGCAAGGGAAGAATGGTGCCGAGGAATACCATACCGATTCTAAAGTGGCAACCCTTAAAGCAAATATGTGGCATTCTAAAGAGCGAGAAAACGTGGACCATCCAGCGTGCTCTCGAAGCCAAGCCCTAGTCATCTGTTTGGATATTGCCTGTAAAAACTCCACTGCCGAGTCTCAAAATGGCAAGAAGAGTTCAAAATAAAATGATGGCAATCTTCTTTACAACCAATGTGCAAGTGGCCGCAGTGGCACTGGAAAACCAAAGCCTGCACAATGATACACCACAGCTTGCGTGCCCGCAGTTCATAAGGGGAGAGACGATAAGAAATCTGCTTGAGGTGATGAAGAAGAAAAGTCAGAACTGGAAAAAAGTGATTAGCCTGGTTTCTTTGTCCTGGTTGGCTACTGTGCCTTGAGGGAGGGGGATATGGCGATTAAAAGAGAGACTCTTTTAATCGCCATATTTCTTGTGTTGCTAATAAAACCATAAAAAGTCTAGAAACCTTGGTTAGTTCAAATAATCTTATCATACATAAAAAATAAAAAAAAAACTCAGGTGACCTTTTCCGCTCCAGAAATAGGAATATCATCCTGACAAGCGACAATTTCTTAGACTCTTCTCCAATCAAAATAGCAAACACATTTAAAATTTTGGGGGGTAATTTTCTCAAAGAACATGTCTTGGACCGAACATGTGGACTATTTAATTTCTAAACTTGCCAGAATAAGTAGTATGTTGCATAGACATCGTCATATTTTTCCTATTGGGGCTAAGCTGATTTTATATAACCCATTATTTTTTTATATCTCCTGAATTACGGTCATCTAGTCTGGGTTACCACCACAAAAACTAATCTGGAACAACTATTTTTACTGCAGAAAAGAGCACTAAGTATCATATGCAACGTTTTATATAATTTTCCTACTAACGAAATTTTTGTTGGTCTGGGTGTTCTGAATGTATTTCAATACTATGATATCATACTGTGTGTAAAATATAAACAGGAATATAGAGGTATTAACAGCTTTTTGATACGCTTAGCATCCCTCAGAAACAAACCTATAACATATTGCACTCGCCATTCCGATTTCTGGGTAGTAGATGCATCTCGTACTGACTATGGTTTACAGATGAATAAAAAAACGCGGCCAACGTTTCTGAACAAAACGATCCGGTCTAATTTTGATATAGAATCCTGTAGCATCTGTGATATCAAGAAATATTTTCTATCAAAGTAATTATGTAATTACGCTGATTCCCTCGCAGTTTTCTTTTCTCTTTGCTTTGACATTAGGAGATATTTTTCTATCGAAGTAATTACCTGATTACACTGATTCCCTAGTAGGTGTTTTTTGTTTCCTCTTTGCCTTTATTGTTTTTTGCTTTATGTAATTTCTTGTGTACGCTTTTGGCAACCGCTGTGTTACTGTGAACGGGCTGAGGACCAGTCAAGCTACGTAGACAGCTTTTTCCCTCAGCTCTCACCATATTTATATGGTAAATAAAGCTATTATTATTATTAATTAAAAAAAAGATAAAAGAAGAGTTTTGTCCTTCAACATCGAAGCAAGTGCGACAACACAGGCCAGCTGGTGTACAGCTCCCATCACAATTCCAAGATCAGGAATAATAAAAAGACGGACTAGCACACGCATGTGATACACACACATGTCGCAGCTATGTGGATTTCACAGTCTCATTCGTCACGGGCAAGCAGGGGCTCTCGATTCTTGAATGTACTCGTATTATCGGGCCTACAACTGCCCGAACCACTCGCATGCTATATCATGCCAGTTATTGACTGATGACTCTGAACAAGAACCGCCTTCGATCTATCATGACGGGCATGGCATTGCGAGATGTGCTAAAGACGGAAACGAGTGCGATGGCACCTGATATCGGAAGTCTGACCGCCGCCAAAATGTGCAGCACGTCGAACTAGATACGGCCTGTACAGTTTTAATAAACATAATTTTGGTCCGCCTAATTTTTTTAAATTGTGCATCCCAGGCCTAGCACTTGCCAGTGAATAATAGGGTTGGTAGGATTCGTACCTTTGCTCCTAAGGCACATATTCATGAGTTCCCAGAGAGCTGCCAAGTGACGCAGTGTGTATCGCAAACCACATATTCCGACGTTAGTACCCTGTATTTAAACATGCGAAGGGAACAAAATAACATCGAGGTCAAAAAATGTCGAGCAAGAAACGACATTAATAAGGCAGCTACTCTTAAATCCTCTGAAGCCTACTAAACAAGCTGGTCTCTGACGAGTTGGGATCTAAGAATTGGCCTCTGACGTAGTGGCCTATTTTACAAGTTGCATATACATGTTGACTGGCACCATATAGTGCCATATACAGGCGTATCAGGCATCCTATACTGTTATATATGACATCCCCTGGCACCATATATGAGTTTATCTGGGGATATATTTTCTCATATATGGTTTCACGTTACCATATTTACCATAATTACAGCCCTTGTATGGCAATATATGACCTTATATGTCTACTTATATGCCCAGATACGGCCCTATATAAAATATATCTGGGTCATATATGACATTTCTGTTCCCGCACTCACAAGAAAGAAGAAAACCGCTTGATCTCTAATCTACGCACTAAATTTCCAACGACATAAATAATAGACTAACACTAATTTTCGGCCCCTAGCACTTCTGCCGTCTTTTTTCTAATCGTGAGCCCCTCCCCCCCCCTTTTCCCCACTACCTTCAGGCCTTCCCTTTTTCTTGCTCCCTGACCTTCCCCCTTTGTATGGCCTTGGTGTGTGCGGTATCTCCCTCCAAGCTTTGTCTTTCCCTCCGGCTGCTCACTCTGGGTGTTATCTCTCGTTTTGGAATTTATGACTTCTTATATATTGTGATTCTCTGAATCCTTTGATGTCGCCTTCCGACTTCCGCGCGTCTTGTCCACGCGTGCACCCGAAACGTCGCTCCAATAGACCTTTTCCGAAATTCAACCCTGACACGCTGCTTTGACGATATTCGAAAGTAGGGCTGGCCACTATGGTCGGGCGAGGCGGCGCCATTATGTTGTATAGCCTGCCAACTGCCATGGCTGCTGCGACTGCAAGCACCAGCACTGCTCGTCCCGATTCCTTGTCGTGGTCTAAAAGTTTAGTCGCCATCCCCAGTTCGTTTACGGTCGAGAAGGTAGACAGCTACTACGCCGCACGCAAGACGAGCGAGCGGAACAAGCGCCGGAGTTACAAATTCGTAACGGAAAGTTACGTGGAGGCGTCATCGCTGGAAACGGCGTCTCTTCTTCGTAGGTAAGTTTGATGATTTCACATTAGCAGATACGGCGTGTTACGCAATATGGATTATTCTCAAAGCCTGTATATTGTGTGTGCAGACATGCTACGTTCGTCGTGGTGCGCGGCCGCTGCTACCGTAGCCAAAAGAAGTCCGGCAGGCCGTACGGCGTCACGGCGACGTTTTCGGAGGACGGCAGCGTCTGGGCATCCAGCTGCGAGTGTGCCGCAAAGGAGGGGCTGTGCAATCATGCGTTGGCCCTGCTGAGGCTCGTCGTACTGCTCAAGAAGCAGGGTTACGAGGAGCCACCCCCCGAGGTGGCTTGTACCGAGCTCCCCCAGCAGTGGCGGCGTCCCCGTGGGTCTCAAATCCCAGCTACTAGCGTCGCCGAGGTTGACTGGAGAGCTGTGCGGGACGGGGGGTCTTCGAAGCCGAGGGGCTCGAGGCTCTACGACGCAAGAAAACGCCCAAGGGACCTGTCAGAAATGCAGGATGCCATCCATCGTCTGGGCAGTGACCTCTGTGCCCTGGGAGATTCGCCCTTTGCGAAGCACTTGAGGACCGTCCAGATCCTGGGTACAGAGTCCAAGTTTGGTATGGTACCTGTCAGGAGTCCTCTCTCATACCAACAACCCACGAGTCCCCACGGGTTCGCAACTTACACGAGCCCCAACATTGCCCTTCGTAGCAGAGACGTGTCCAACAGTTCACCTTGTTGGCCAGTGCTCTTCTCATCGGCAAGCACCTATGAGCCTGCAACACAGAGCCTCAGTGATGCTGAGACCTCGCTTCTCCAGGTAATATTACTATTCAGGATCCTTAATTTGCATATGTCAACCTATAGGGTCTTTCACTCGCGGCCCGCAAGTGATGCACTATGGGTATGCCGCCACCTTTGTGTCCGTACCAGTCGCGTTGCCGCTGTCGTGCCGGCTGCATTATGCAGCGGTTGCTGGTGTTTCAGACAGCCCTGTGGTTTCAGCCACGCCTAAATGCGGTGGAAGTGCTAGAAATAATAGCAAGGTTGTGAACTCTGTTTTTAAAGATGCCGAGAGCGTGTGTGTACCCTTAATGCGACAGGACTCGGTCGCTCTCCACGGGGAGAGAACGCAAATGGCGTTTGGTTGCCAGCTGGAGAGACCTCGGCACCGATAAACGGCACTTTGTCTCAGGTAAGCGTGGGCGCATTTTGCTGTTACCTGACATCATCTGCCAGCGAACCAGGCCTACTTGCGGCCTAAGTTCAGTGACGCTTCCCAAGAGACGCGAGCATTTCTACCTCTGTAGCAGCGGCAAAATGGCATTGATAGAAATTTACATAAGTAGGCACACAGTCTTCCGCCTTCATGAATCTGAGAAGGCTGTAGACGTCGTTTGCGAGTCCCTGGTCTTCCGCGGAATTTTCAACAAACATTGCGGGCCTAGGTCTCCGCGAAGTCAACCGATCATAGCTGCTTGGATTGGGCATGTGAAGCGCATGTGAGTACCCAGAGTGCGGATCAGGCTCCCAGTAGGGGTTACAGTAATTAAAGGGGCTTGCTGTGGCACCTGCACGACGCAACGAATTGCTCAAAAGAGGGCCGGTTCAGACGACATGCATCGGTTATTGCATGTCATCTACTCTGCGGAAGCCGTTGAACTCATAAACGGCGACCAGCTTTCTGGGATTGGGAAAGATTGTATGGCAGTGTGTACCCACAAAAGAAATTCTGTCAATGCCGCCTTGCTGCTGCCAGAGCAATAGAAAAATGTGCATTCGCGTCTCTTGGGAAGTGTCGCTGAACTTCTTTGGTCGCGAGTGAGAGCTCGCTGACACAACGAGCGAGGTCAAAGTGATGTCGGGTGAAGGCGAAATGCGCCCGCACTTAGCTGAAATGAAGTGACGTGAGTCTACCCTGTACCTGTCAAGATAGGTATCAAGGTCCTGCAGTTCGCAATCAAACGCCATTCAAGTTGCGTCCCCGCGGAGAGCGACCATGTCCTGTTGGATTTGTGGGTATGCGCCCTCAAATATGGTACTACTATTTTTGTGTTGTTAACCCCCCAGGGGGATCGTTAAGGTACTTAAATAAATGTGTATTCTATATCATTTGTAACCTGGTAAACAGTACTTCATAATTTCTGTTGTCTCTCTAGGAACTTGTCCTTACACCAGCGGGGGCACGTCGGCTAGAGAAGAACAGTCGACAGCAGGCCAAGAGTGCAACGTGGAGGGCTGCACGCAAGGACCGCCTCACAGCATCGTCCTTCGGGGTTGTCCTGATGAGGGAGTCATGGACCGCCATAGGGTTGCGCAACCTGGTGCAAGTTCGTGATCTGTCCCGTGTCAGAGCTATCCAGTGAGTGCCAAACCTATCTAGACAAACTATTCACAACTCCAGCCAGCCGTTCGCCCTCGCGCACAAACGGAGAACCAGAGGAGAGCGTACGGCGACGGCAGCGGCGCAGAAACGATGGCAGGGACTCAACCTTGATGCATGAAGCCATTTAAACGAAAAAAAAGGAATTGTCGTGCTCCGCCTTGCAACAGCGTTGCACGAAGGATTGGGATGTCTACTTTCATTAGGGACTTTTTTTTTATATTGCATACGCTGCAGATTTTTGGTCTTGTGCATGGCCGCCAGCTTAATTTATGCTCAGCGTGACAACAAACGCTCCTGCTAATAATGTAGAGCTTTATATTACAATCTACGAGAAGTCTATTCTTTGCCATAAGTAGGAGAAAACTCGCCGCACAACGGTATGTTGAGCTATACACATCGGGGAATTGGTTCGTGTTTTAAGGCTGTTACAAGGAACGTGGCCATTTATTCCAAGCACTTTCAAAAGACAGAATATGCATGTTTGCTTTCAGGTAATTACAAAGCAAATAAAGAAATGCTCGAAACATTTTAAGTGCGTCTGTGTTAGGCAGCCGCTCATGACGAGAGCTTAGAACGGGCAGTTTTGGCGTTGCAAATAACACGGTGCAAAAAATGTATGGTATATTAAAATATTCATTTTTGATAGAGCAATAAATAAAACCCCTCAACACGCCGATTATGTTAATAGGCAGTTTAAGCATAGCTTTGTTGCAGGCTACCGTTGGCTACCGGCACGGCAACGCTCCTGGCGCGCACTGAATATTGTGCTTCAAAGGCGCAGCGGGAGCTTCCGGTTATAATGCTACACCGCACGGTAACCTCCAGTAAAACTTTCTACCAATAACCAAAGAGCAGTCTGATCACGTGTTGCGATACACTAAAACCGGGACTTTGAGCAGCGAGTTGCGAGCCTGTGACACGAAGACAGCAATAGTGTGAATGCTGCTCTTCCGAAGCTCGACAGTCGCCGCGCACAAGTCACTTTTTATAGCACTAATGGCGAGGCAAAGTGAAAGCATGATATCTTCATCACCCTCAAAAATATTCTGTCACAAAAAGTGACGTGGCCAGTGCCTTAAACGTGCTCGCCCACCACAAAGCTTCGCAAATTAAGGTTTCTGCAACTTTTAATTATCAGCACGCTCGTTTTCCTAACACACATCAACATCTCCATTGCCTGTAATATGATACTGTCCTAACCGCTTCGCATTTGTAGACAAATCATTTTTAGCGCGCTGACCAGCGTCAGCGAGCAGGCGCACGGGAAATCCTGGAAAATCTATCCCAGTCTCTTCCGCCATCTTGGAACTACCGCCCTGCCACCCATAGGGCGTTGGAGTTGCGGATAGAGTTTACTTGCAGAACCAGCATTGTGCAGCTGCTCTATATTGCTTGTTGTTGTTTTTTTTTGTGGACATAGAATATACTGCTTTTTTTTTCCACTGTGCCTAAAAATATGTCGGACGTACCTGGTGCGCAGAATCTGAAGATACGTCGGACGTACCCGGAATGTGGAGTCTAAAGATACGTCGGACGTTCCCGGTGGAGCCTTTTCTGAAAGATACGTCGGACTGTCGAACCCCCCTCCCCCCACGCTAGCACCGAAGCTATCGACAAGCCACACAGTTACTTACAAACATGGGGTCGGTATGCTTACGGTGTGAGAGCTCTACGTGGGGGCACAGAATGTCGTGGACAAGGGCAGCAAAAATCACACTTTTTCGAAAACAAATGAGTAAAGGCAGCCCATAAATGTGTGCCACTGCATTAAAACATCAGTGTCAAGCAAATAAAATCAGTGATGCTATGAAGTGCACTTCAAATGTTTTGCAAGAGCAAGACCCGTCGATCAGCACACTGCTGTTCAATAAATTGCGCCCTAGTTCGGTTTGAGACAAGGACCACAAACCTTTTCCGGAATGCTAACTGATGTTATGGCTTTCCAATCAAATCGGTTTTACTCGCTGGGCAAAGCACCATCTGACTGAAAAAGAGCAGCGGTCCTAGCTGTCCCGTCACTGGCAGGGTCCCAACTGTCCCGTCATTGCGACAAGTTTCCCCCATAGAAATGAGTAGTTTCATAATGGTTTTCTTCGACCGCTGTAGCTCGCTCGATGCGGTCGAGTGCTGGAAGTGGTGCCGCCACCATTCTAGTTGTAGTCAACATCAGCTGTCTACACCTGGTTGGGCTGTATATGTTCTGCACATTATTCCAACACATGGAACAATACGGCCAGGTTAATGCAGAAGATGGTGATAGACCACTTCTGCTGGACTAAATGAGTCGTCTCGTCGATCAGCAAAAGTCTAATGCCACAAAATAGACACGCGTGTTCCTTTGCTTCGTTTTGACGGAAACACACTGGGCTGTTTGCTCTAAAGCTCAACCAGTGATTTTGCCCGTTTTCTCTGTGCTACGTGAGCAGCATGTGCATGGTTAACGCTAGATGCTCGGCGCATCTCAAGCTTCGGAATTGCGCCCTAAGGTGACGCAGCATGGGTCGAAAACCATGTTGCTTGCACTTTATTCCATGCCAACTGTAAAACATTCAGCTGTGCAATAACTTTTGACGCCTTAGTTTTGTACAAATGGACTTCAGGTGAATGCGTATCGTGCATTAAAGGTGACTGTTTGTGTTGTACATTTTGCAGGCATGGCATCAAGCACGAGCCACAAGCAGTGCAGCACTATAGGCGGGCTCTGCATTCCCTTGGGCATGACGTCGAGATCTCTGCCTGTGGCCTCCTGGTGGACCCTGCCTGCCCTTGGTTGGGGGCCTCCCCCGATAGGCTCGTGTATGACCCCACTGAGGCTGTCCCTCACGGTGTCGTAGAGGTGAAATGTCCCTACACCATTTGGGACTGTGCAGAGCCAGACTCAAAAAGCTTTTATATGGTGAAGGACTCTGCAGGAGTGTACAGACTGAGCCGGGACCATCACTACTACTTTCAACTTCTGGGACAGATGGCACTCTCCGACTCTCTCTGGGGAGATTTTGTAGTATATTGCAAACACTTTTTGATTGTAGAGAGAATTTCGTTTTCTTTGCCAGATTGGGTTCGATGCAAGGAAGCGCTGGACACGTTTTATTTTGCTACGCTGCTTCCTTACCTAGTGGAGCAGCGTAATCGGTCGACTGTGTGAACCGACCTTTAGCAGTTACTCCCTAAAGTGGTTCAGCAATAAGAACTGAGTAGCATTTACCGTAGAATACCGGGCATCCACTCATTCCACATTAAGCGCCCATTCCCAAATTTGTAAGATCTGAGAAAATATGCACATTACATTGATGTGTAAAATTGAGGACTAGACAAGCGCCTGTCCCCTATTTTTTCGCGATTATCTCTAAATTTTGAGTGGGCGCTTGCCCGGTATTTTACGGTAGTGTTGTTTTCTGGGTGAAATAATGAAAACTGCTTACGGGTAGCATTTGAGCTTGTTTTCTTTATTTTTTTACTTTTTATGATTGAAGTATGTGTGTCAAGGTTCTGGTCCTTTGAAGATAACATTTGGGTTGTTCATTATACGACACATTAGATAGGGTACCTTACAAATCGTGGAGAAGAAAAACTTGTAAGCTATGAAGTGTATGCATATTCACTAAAAACCATCGACACCTGCACGTAGCCATCTAAACTTTTTCGTCAAAGGTGTGTTTCACAGGTCGGTTTTTTATTGTAAAATAACAAAGCATAGTTCCCTTCTAGTAAAAAATAGGGCCAAGAAACTTGCCAGGGTCTACGGCGGGTGGCGACCCAGACGACACAAGTCCAGTAGCGGGGTGTGTTTAGCGTTCGTATTGATAGATGGGCGTCGGGAGCAGCGTCTGAAGGTGCAGCCGACCAGCCAAAGATAGCAGACGACACGCAGACGAAATCCGTTGGCAGCGAATGCGCAGTCGTTACGCAGACGCATTTTTTTACTTGACTTTTAGTTTTTATTGTTTGCATTTATTTTTTAACCAAATGTGCATTTCCAAAAGATCATATTCATCTTAATAAAGCACGGTGGTCGCGATAAGGGGGTAGCGCCATCTATCAATACGAGCGCCAAACACACCCCGCTACTGGACCCCTCTCATCTGCATTGCTGCCCGCCATAGACCCTGGCAAGTTTCTTGGCCTTATTTTTTTACAGAAAGAGAGCTACGCTTTGTAATTTTACAAGAAAAAAACCGACCTGTGAATTACAGCTTCGACGAAAAGTTGAGATTGCTACGTGCAGGCGTCGATTTTTACGGTCCATTTTAGATCAAGCCTAGTGACTATAGAAGCTTTAGGAAATTTTCATGAGTGTTGTGCTGCTCAGGGGCCCAATCTATACAATAACAAATTTACTGTTGACCTACTTTTTAAATTTAGTATTTCAATTTGTGTAAATAAAGCAGTGTATCACCCCGTACCATGACTGTCGTGTCCTTGTTCTTAAAGCAAAGCAAACACATTTAAAACTGCTGATCGAGTGGAGAGGTACAGCATTACACATCTTGGTTTGTATTTTGGACCATTTTTTTATTTGACATTTGAGTTTTTTGAAATGCACCAAATCCACCTCAACAGAGACTAGGAGCCCTGCAATGTGGCTTCCTGAACATTGGTTTGTATCGCATAAAACAAATCAAGTTGGATAACATGCCGATGTTACCTGTGGTTTTATCAAAAAATTTGTTTAGGTCTGGTTCATGAATTCGGCCTGTTTAGAAAAAACCACATGTGAGTGTGACAGTGACAAAGATGTGGACGTGCATTCACTATTCACAGGGTTTGATCAAGGGACTTTGTAAATTGCTCAAGATCACACAAATAGCCCACATCTCGTTGACAATGGGAGCTATTGAGATTGGTACAGGCCGGTCAAAGAGGTGAAAATTTTTTATCCTCTGAATTCGCCTCTCTACGTGTATCCGAAGCGAGGCTATTGCTTCTGTTTCCCTCACTTCCTCGCTTGTAAAATGTCCCCTCCGGAGGAAGGGAGGTGTGTTCAGCTGAACGCCGATGTTGGTCAGTAGGTCCTCAATCTTAAAGCCTTTGTCAGCCATGATTGAGTCACCAGCATTAAAAGCCAGCTTGAGGAAACCACTTTTCTCGACACACTCTTTGTCGGACATGGACCCAGTGAATAGATCGGAGAAAACGGTCACTGTGCCATCAGGGGATATTCCGACCAGCCCTTTCAATGTGTTCGTAGACTTGTAACTTGAAAAAGTTGCTGACTGCAGGGCAAGCGAGCTTGAGGCTTCGCACTTAACTTCAGTCGCGTCAAGAATCACCCGTGTTGACGGATAACGCTCTTTGAATACTGGCGGCATGTCATCGTCCACTGCCTCCCTAGGCAGCCACAGTGGTAGCTGTCCTATGTGAATGTAGATATAACTAATCCAAGTTATGCATATTTTCGAAACTGTCGCAGTCGAGACTTTGAACCTGTATGCAAGGTCCTTTTCGAAGAGACCAAGCCGAAGGCGAACCAGAACCAAAAATAGCTGCTCCGCAGAAGACAAAAGAGGAGGCCTGCCAGCATTTGTGGCATTGTTGCTGTAGGTAGTAGACCACATCTTAACATTCTCCCCATTTTCCCCTGGTGCCAAAAAGGTCCAAAGACTCTTAAACTGTGCATAGCTTGAAAGCCCGGTATAAAACTGGACATCTTCCGGGCTATCCTTAAAACACTCAATGGAGAACTTTCTACTTGCTTTTGCCTTAAGCGTGCGGCATTCTTCCAGTGCAAGCTCAAGCTTCCGTTCAGCTTTGTATAGAGCCTGTTTAGTTTGACTCAACTCTATTTCCCGAGCATCTAGCTCCCTGCATTTTATAAGAGCTAGCTCAAGCTCTGAACGCATCTGCTTCAGGGTGTCTTCAGCCCCTTTCAGCTGGTCTTGACAGCTTGTCAGTTCAAACTGCAGATTCTTGATCAGTTCGGCTTGGATGGCAGTCTGTTTCTCGAGATCTTGTTGCTGCAAAACGCGCGTGATGTCATCTCTACACTGTATAACAATCTGATCATAGTGAAAAGTTCTTACTAACCTGTAGACGGTCATCACTGTCTTTATCAGCGATCGAGTTGCCGGTGTCCTCTTCGTTCGCGACGCTGCTTTCATCTGCGATTGAGGAGCTTGTCGCGTTTTCATTGGTGACGATGTCTGCGTCGGCGATCGAGTTGCCGGTGTCCTCTTCGTTCGTGACGCTGCTTACATCGGCGATTGACGCGCTCCTCGCGTTTTCGTTGGTGACGATGTCTGCGTCGGTGATCGAGCAGCCGGTGTCTTCTGCGTTTGCGACGCTTTCTGCGTCGGCGATCGAGTCGCATGTCGCGTCCAAGTCGGCGACGTCGTCGTTCGCCGATCCTTCGGCAGCAGCAGTGGGGAGCTTCTGTTTCGGTGGCAGTGGTAGTCTTCGACGGGGTTCCCTCCTCGGAGGCCTTGCAGCAGTGTTGAAAGCAAATATGCTCGGCAGGGCATTCTGGCGCAAGAAGCGGCGGCTACCAGCATAGTTCGCGAGGTAATCGCTCTGCTGAAAGTGCTTCGAGCACAGCCGCGTGTACTTTGTGATCTGGAAGAGTTTTCCCTCGTCCCGTTTTATAGCGATCACCCACTTCTTTCGAACAACAGGATCGCTGGGGAAAGAAAAAAAAGACACCTGGGAAAGAAGAATACCCAAATTTTAGTGTCGCAAATAAGCAATGCCCAAACGAAGACTGAAACTTGTGCGCGCGCGCTCGTGCATCTCTTTGCATGCGCCAGCGTACCCATTTAATGACTCGTAGCAAACACAAAGCCTCACCTTGTCTCCGAGGTCATCCGTCACGCCTTTCTGTTTGCACAGAGGCGCGCAGCAATATTGAGGCATTCCGAGAGGCTCGATGGGTCGGTCTTGCAGCGTACTGCAACAGGCCGCGGCATACCACATAATGGCGGCCGCCAGCCGCGAGCAGCGCCCGCGGATTGTTTCGAAATGGCGCCGCTAGATGGCACGGCATAGGTAAAAGGGTCTATTATGTCTGCTAAAGAGCACAACGAGAGTTTCCGCAAACGGTTCCTGAGGCGACGCCGACGACTTATAAAGGGGCAGCTGACGACACGTTGAACATTCAGCAGTTTACGATTCATTCAACGGGACACAATTAGCCTGCAACGACAGCGAAGTGAAATCCAGACGACGAAGTGGATCTTTTCGGTGACACGGCAAGTATGCATGCGATGGCGTACATGGTCTTGTGAAATACCAGGCAACCCTGCACATTTGAGGGTCGCCCGCCATTGATGCCATACAAGGCGCAGGTGCTTTCCTGGCATTAGCAGGCAAAATGAAAAAAAAATGTATGCCTGCTGCACGTGATGAATAGCGAGCTTGAAGTATTTGGAAAAAGAAAAGAAAAAGAGAAGAGTGGAAGAAGTCCAGAAGGGTGCCTGGGAATGCAGTCATTCATATGTACAAATATCAAAAATCGAGTCAAGAGGATTTCTAGTACGTGGCACGGAGTGCAGACTCCGAGTGGAAAAAAATTGGAACGTGTTTCACGTATCGCTTGCGGCAGTCAGTGGCGACGCTCCAAATTTCTCATTAAGAGCGTATTTATTCCAAATAAACAAGTGCAGGTTTTTTTCAGTGTGTCTTCTTCTATACTTAAAAGAACACATCATCACCGCGCCCCCTCCCCCCTCACCCTCACGCTCTCTTGCCCCTTTATGTACTAGGAACGGCGCACTCAAGACAAAAAGTTTCAGGTTGAAGTTTTAATATTAAAGTGTCCTAAAAATTTGCCAAAAATGCCTTATTTCGAAAGAGTTGCTGAAAAAGTGAAGTTTGCCTTTTTATTTATTTCTAGATATCTGAGAAAATAAAATGCATTTCAATGTTTGTAGCGGTAAAGCTTGTGTGCGTTTGGCATAAAACTTTTCATAGTGTAGAAAATTGTATTCTTTACTGCAGGTGCCATCAAAGTTGCGGCAACGCCCGATTGGAAAAGTACTTTGTTCAACCTCATTTTTGGTGCGATTTTTTCTCACGAATTCAAAATAGTTTCTCCCAAATGTAAGGCGTTTACCGTTGTGTTGACATGTTTTTCTACCTCACTATAAAATTTGTTAAAAAAAATAGACGTGACACCATTATGACCGTCCTTACCTGAACACACCTATACACTTGAAGAGTAGCCTCTGCTCGAAACGTCGAAAATAAAACCTCTGTTGCTGCTCACAATTCGTTTTGCGTCTGTTATTCTCTTGGTGAAGTAATGCTTATTAATAATTTCGTTCTTGGAGTAAGAAACATTCTAAACCACAAATCGTTACACGGACCCCTTTACGCGGTATTCACACTGGGGAGAAACCCATGGACTTGGCTTGGCTTCTGCCGGCGAGGTCTCCTCACCTCCGACGCGGAGTCGGCATTGGAGTCGAGGGGTGTATGTACCCTCTGAACATTACCTCAGCTCCTCCTTCGCTGACCTCGACGTCATCGGGCCACCTCAGAAAGGCGTGACGTCAGCATCACGTGACGCGCACTGCGCGGGGCGAAGTGGCGGATTTCTTCCTGGGGTCCTAAGCTCGTCAAACACAAAGTTTGTGTTTGATCAAACAGAAACGCGCCGATTGGACGTCGGGGAATAAAGTGCGAAGTCATCGTCGTGAAATGCCTGTCGGTGCGCTCCGTCAACTTTGATCCCAACTTTGTGTTTACCCAGTTTGGACGCCCTGGTGTGAATACCCCATTAACACTCGATGGGCGATCCGTAAATGACATGGTTGGGAAGACTTACTGCACAACCATTTAGGTCTGCTTTGTATCACCAACCGTCCGATAACTAAGAATCGCGTATTTTATACTTACGGTATGTTCAGGTTCACAGAACAGATATAATTTTGAGATCATTTCCGCCTTGTCATCTGCCAACCTCTTCCGGTTGAGCTTCCGGTTTATCTTCGGATAAGCACCGCTGGATAGCAGATAAACGGAAATAATCGTAGATCGTTCTGCCGCCAGCGAATAGCGACGAGGCCTTTTCAGCTGATATAGTGCCGATGTTTTCGACAGACGCCGATCTGGGTCGTTCGTTTGAGGGCGCACGTACCAGTATTCCTCCATGGCGGCGGCTTGTTCAGCGCGGGACATCATGTCGATAGCATCTTCGCTGCGGCTCAGCCACTTCTCTAGCTCCCGCCTGTTGCCTTCCAGGCAATCGCTGAGCACAATGTCTGCGAATCGGTAAGAGACCCAGAGCGCGCAATACACTGTTGGTCAGCTGCCTACTTCCAGGAGCGTTTTTCCTTGCGGCAGGACTGCGCAAGGTTAGTCAAATCCAGGCATCAAAGGTTTCGCTTTCCCTTATTTGCAGAATTGCATTTTTACTCAAGCTGACCTTATTTTAGCCTTGAAAAAAGTGAGTGAAGCGTGAACGGCTGCCGAAGATTTTAGCTGTGAGCTTTGCCGGCAGCACAATAAAAATAAAAGAATAATTACAGGCAAGATTATTTCACCAAACGCGATGAAATGCGGTGGGTTTACGGGAACGTCGTTGGTGAAAACAATTAGGAAAGGAAATGGTATGGCGATGGAATGGTTGCAATATGCCGTGCGCACATCGAAGACGACGTCGAGTACGACGTCAAGTACGGAGTCTAAGATGTCATCTAGGACGACCTCTAGGAGGCTGTTGAGGGCAGCTTGTGGAACGACATCTAGGACGACCTCTAGGACAACCTCAAGGACGTCGAGGACAACGTCGAAGATGACGTCCTAGAGGACGCCGTTAAGATCGACCTCAAGGACGACATCTAGGTTGAACTCTAGGACGACCTTAAAGACGTCATCTAGGACGGCCTTTAGGACGGCGCCAAGCACATGAGGTCACGTCAGCCCTACCTACCGACGCTTACGAGCTTACGCGACCGGCGCTTATGTGAACTTGATTACGCGGGCTTGCACTTCAGCCACGGGCATTACGCGACCTTGAGGACATGACCTTGAGTGCGGTTGGGCCTATACACCTTTTCCACAAGGGCGCAGCCATCTTGAATGTTGGCGCTTTTGGTATGCGCTAAAACATCATTTTGATTTCTCCGCGCCGCTGTAAGGTGTTCATGAAAAATGCGTGATTTTCACACATTCTTGATTTGCCTCGCCTATATTTTCTCGTATATTCCAGGTTGAAATGTCTTATTACTTTTTTCTCCCGCATACCATATACGGAATGAACGTGACTGAGAATGAAAGCAAACAAAAAATGCCCATTGAGCTACCACTTTAAAAGAGAAGTAACAAAAGTAGGAGGATGGACGACTCCGAGGCGCTTTGAGAAGACTTGGCCCGCAACGAAAGCTTCAAAAATAGCAACAAGATGAAAAGCTCGAGGTGCACATAAACATTTTTTATGAGTTGTGAATGTGAAAGCATGCAAGCCGCTCGTCCGCTCCCTTTGTCGTCTGCTGCGTAGTAGAGCGCGAGCTTCGGGATCTCGGAGGCCATGGCGCAGCGGCCAATGGGAGCCCCGTCGACGCGCGCCAGCCAATGGAACCGAAGGTGCGGAAAGCAGGGGCCGTTTTCGCGCTTCAAACTGATGACGTCAGCTCGCTCCATGAGACAGTTAATGCTTTCGCATTGAAAAGGCTCGAGGTACACCTAGGCACTGATGAGTTGTAAATGCGAAAGCGTGTATGTTGTTCTCGCTCGCGCTCTCGGGAAGTGGCCGCGCCCCGCTGACATCGGCCGTGCTGCCGCTCTGGAGTCTTCCCGAGAGGGGTCTTGCAGGTTCCACCGCCAGCCGATTCCTTTTGACCGGCGCGCTGGCGGCGCGGACCCGCAGAACCATGGGGTGGCGCTCCGTGAAACTGACGCGCAGCGGCCAATGAGAGCTTGGTTCCTTGAAACTATGGGGGGGGGGGGGGGGGGGGGGGGGGGAATTTAGCTGCCGTTTGGCGCGGCTTTTGGCGCGGCTTCAAAGCTTATGACGTCGGCTCGCTCCATGGGCAGTTAATGCTTTCGAATTAAAAAAACAGGGACACTAAACGGAACTTTACGCCGCTGACACGACGTCGCGCGCCTGGAAGTTTGTAACAGGAGTTATTTTCCTCTCCGTTCCTCATAAAACGCAATTCAGTATTTCATAATTTGATCAATAGATCAGAATAAAACAACAATACTTTTAAATAAAAAAAGAATGTATTACTTTGGAGTAGAAAACAAATGCTCAGTACTCGCAAAAGTCGGGCCTCAAGATTAAAGATCCAAGTTGAAGAACCAAGGGGTGAAAATATCGAACCGAATAATGACTGGAATGAAATATTCGATGCAGTTCTTCGAATTGCAAACGAAGCAGAGGGCCGTCGTGCCGTGCCATGAACTCCGTGTAAGTCCGAGGCACAAACGTACGTTTGTAGGCATCCCGGACTGCTTGAAAATCCAGGCTGCTTGCCATGGCCTTTCCTGTATACCTGAAAAAAAAAATTTTTCTATCGCTAAAACCAGCTCATCCAGCAATGTTTTCCTTTGTGACACTAACTCTGAGACAGTGTTGGAACTTGGAACAGGCACGACAATGAAGTGTCCATAAGAAGTCTTCTTATTTTGTTCGTCGTCATTTTTGTCTATAAAGGTTGAAAAACGATGAACGAAACGATTTTTTTTTTGCTTTCAAAAAATATTACTCAGAATCACTTCCTAACGTTAATTACCGAATAAACTTGTCTTAGATTTTTTTTTCTTCTTTTTTTCTTCTAAGAAGTGGCAGTCGGCAAGTAAATTTCAGAAATGTAAGCATCGTTCATCCCCTCAGCTCCGAGCCAGAACAAACTGCCATATGTGGCCTGATGCCTATCCTATGCCATCAACGTCAATCATATATCCACGCGCTGGGGTCTGCAAAGTAGAAAACGGGAGATGACCTCAAGGCATTGTTAGAGTTCGGGTATTCTCACCACCATAAGGGGGGAGTAGGGGGGTTTGACATGAGTCACTGCCCGAGTGTCCGCCGAGGCATTGATT